CCCCCCCCCCCCTCTGCCGCGCCTCGCCGGCCGAATGCTCAACGCGGGTCGCGGAGCGACGCGGGGCTCGACGACGGATAGATTACACACGGCGCACGCGCGCGCGCGCGAGCGGAGTAGCGGACGATCGTCCACTCGCTCTCTCCTTGCGACGCGAACGCGTTTTCATTACGTAAAACAAGTGTGCGTCGCTTGAACTTCGCGCACGCTCTCGATCCATTCGTCATCGAAAAAAAAAAAAAAAAAAAAAAACCACGATCCTGCAGTTCAATCTGTCGTCGAACCTCCAAAATTCATATTACGATCTTTATCGCCTCGATTTCTTCCTCGATTATTTTCGCGAGTATGCCATTGCATTTTATAGGGAATCAATTTAATAACGTTTTCGTTCGTTATTAAATTAACGTTTATTACGAAAAGTGCCAATGAGTGTATCTTGAGAATGGAATGCGATACATTTGCGATTAAATCAAACTTTTCGTACTGGAGCAACGCGAATAACTCTTATCGGGGAATTATCGATGATTCAGACGCGATGAACGCTTTACTCAGGTGGATGTGGGTTCTTTGAAAACGCACGAGTAGTCCTTAACACGGTCGTACCACATCAGTTAACTCAAATAACTCCCGTTGATGAGCGTGTTAAATTCTCGATAATGATCGACGAAATCCTCAGCCGATGATTCATCAAGATAACATTTGTGACGTTTCCCGTCGCGTAAAGTCTCGACCGATGGACAACTCACACAAAGAATAAAGAATAGCCCTTAACACACGTGATGATTTTTTAATTCTTTACTTAACACACGATTGTTCGTGTCTTAATTTTCACATTTTTACAAGAATATAAAAATCATCAAGTGACTCTTACATATATTTTAACATCTTTAGAAAGTAGACTAGTTAGTAAAACTGGATAAAAAAAGGAATAGAAATTATACATTAGATGTCAAAGGAGCAAAATGATAACCTAATTCCTTGAGTTAAATAACATTTTGGTATTTTAACTTCCATGTGTGACAAAATGTAAATCAATTCATTTGTGTGGTTAGTTCTAAAGTAAATAACGTCCACATCAATGTATGCACTTAATAATAAACTAAATTTGAGTCAAATTTAATACATTTTCTTTAATTAAATTATTTGATTTCAGTTAAATTGACGATATATTGAGTAAGAGTTATGGCAATTTATAAAAATGATTAAAAACAACTCAATTTAAATATAATTTAACATCATGATTTTTGCAGGATACTTTAACATCTTTAGAAAGTATTTGTAAGGGTGTATATTAAAAAAAAGGAAAGGATAGATTGTTAGATACCAAAGGAACAATGATAATAAATTTCTTGAATCAAATAACATTTCGTTATTTTTAATTTCTATATATATGTCAAAATTTAAATCAATTCATTCTGTGTTTAGTTTTAAAGCTTTAATATCTGTATTAACGTATGCACTTAGTAAATAACTTAAATAAATTAAAGAATAAAATTTAATACATTTGCTTGAGTTACATTGTTTAACTTCATTATTTTAAATAAATTGACGACATATTATTGAGTCGGAACGGTGGCGACATATGAGAATAAAAATTAATATAAAATTAATATAAAAAAAGAATTAATATAAAATAACTCAAACTGGGAATAATTTGACATTATTATGAATTTAACAGTGCATTATGCAGCCAAGTCTTCCACTATTTCAAAGAAAAGAAATGCGCAGAACACAAATGATCCATCGTGTACTGAAAGATAAAAACGACAATGTGAATATGTCGACAATGTGTAAATGTCTTGCACTGCACGCTTGTAAATTCATACTAAAATTATATTCCATTTGAGTTATTTCTAAGATCCAATTTGAGTTATTTCTATAAACGTACTTATTACATCTACTTATTATTATGTTGTTAATTTAATTAAAACAATGGGATTAAATAAAATTTTATTTAAGAAAAATGTTTTAAATTTTACCGAAATTTGGTTTATTATTTACTAAGTGCAGAATATTGTTTACTTTGAAAATAATCACAAAAATAAATTGATTTATGTTTCGATACATACAAAAATAAAAAAAAAAAACAAAATGTTATTTAACTCAAGAGATCAAGTAACACTGTTCCTCAAATATCTGTACTTAGAAAAAAGTCTGATTGCATTAATTGGTATTCTGATTGAAAAATGGATAAATAAGAATTTTATATTAAATTCTAGTTGAAATAACCAGAATTCTGATTGATGTAAGAATTTTCTGGTTCGTTCATTTTTAATCGGGAATTTTTCTCGTTATAACAGTACAATCGCGTGCGACATAAGAATCCGCATTTTCGCGCGTTTTTCGTTGAACAAGCAGAGTCACGGCGAGTCGCTAATCAATCTTTCGTACAGAATAAAGCTCGTGTTATACTAGGCATTGGAGATTAAAGATTGCAAATTGAAAATTAAAATTCAGCTAATCAGAGTGAAATGGATAAAAATTGAAATGTTCATTTTTGTATTTTGTATTTTTGCATATATCTTCGAATTTTAAAGATTTTAATGAATAGACGATTTGCATTGTTATTACATATTTGCACACCGTAAACTGCGTTTTGACTTTTAATCATCATTTTACAATTCCATTATTACTTTATGTAGAAGAGTTTTTTCTTTTTTAACTTTTATTTTTACAATTATCTGACTAATCGAATTCTAATCTCTAAGGCCGATATTCATATATTCGATTCATATATTCAAAATTGTCTTAAGTACAGTACTTAAAATGTCACGAATCAATCAGAGGGCGGTATTAGCATTTTAAGACATTACTTGAGACGATCTTGAAATAAGAACGGTCTATGAATACCGGCCTAAGGCCCGGTTTCACAGTTCGCGGTCTATTCTTTAACCGAAGGTTCTAGAATTGGAAAAAGATGAAAAGTAGATTGGACCTCGATTAAAGAAGTTAACCGCGAATTGTGAAACCAGGTCTAATTCGCAATCCTCATCTCCAATGCGTAATGTGACACAGGCTTAAGTACGCGCCGTCGCTTCAGTGTCACTTCAAACAGCTTCAGTGTCACTTATCGCGCGAGACGTCTGTTTTCGCACGAATCGCAGATTCGTCAACGGCCAACCGGACTCGGCGCGTGTATTTAGTGCAACTCGGGTCATACTCGCTAACTGTGCCGTTAAGCGGAATATTCGCGCGTCAGTAATTAACTCATGGACTTATACGCATATATATACAATATGTATATATATCTCGATGACGCGTTGCCGCCACGCTCGGACAAAGACGAGAGACATCGAGGAAACGCCGAGTCGCCTTCCCTCTTGCTCCCTCGTAAATCCTCGCGCATTTTCGCATGATCCTCCTCAACACTCCGACCGCGCGGCGATGAAACGGCAGTACGTCACGCACATTTCGTCTCGCACACATACGCGCGCACGTCACGATACAAGAAAAAAGAGACACACACCTCTCAGATTCCTCTGTATTTTCAATTGTACTTTTCTATCGCCGAAATATACTTCACATGCATACACACGCGCACACAAACGAAGCGCGGACGACGAGAATCGAGGACGCGCCGCGCCGCCTCGTTCGAAGAAAAAAATCGTAGCTGCTTCCCGCTGGGCGGAACTCGGTGTCGTTGACGGGGGGGGAAGGGGGGAAGGGAGGGTCAGAGGGATGAGCGAGTGGCGAACGGACTGCAGGGAGAGGGAGGGAGGGACCAGGGAAGAAATGGAGAGAGAAAGGTGGAGAGAGAAAGAGAGAAAAAGAGAGAGAAGGAGAGAATAAGAAAACGGAGCGCAGCACGATAAGATTCGTCGTTACGAAATGACTGCGACGGAGATCCGACACAAACTGAGAGCCGCCGAGCTGCTGATTGCGGCCGATAGCACATTCTCCCCCACCCTGCCGTCTCTTTGCCGTCACCCTTCCCGCTTCCTCTTCCACTCTACGTCTCTACCCCTCGGTGAGGCGGCCCACGCATCCCTACACTGCTACACAACGACTCGACATAACACTCAACCTCCCCGTGCTTTGCCGTGCTGGTGCTCTACAGTCTACGTCTATCCCCGCTCGCATTGCGAATCTTCCCCCTCTCCTTCTCGGTCTTCTCTACCTCCGACGCTCGCAGCTACGAGAAAGTTTCTCGCGTGTATTGCTAGGTTATCGGTATTTACTCGTTACCACCAAATCTACACGCGACCTTGCTGTAACGGGAAAACGACGGACATCAAAACGGTTGGACAGGACCGTGCCATATAAAAGCGAATGATTAATTTTGACGATCTTCAATTCATCACGCTATCTTACAAGGACAAAGTAAAATTCGTATATATGTATATTTATTTAATATGTATTATGTTTATATATGTATATTTATTTAATATTTATGAACACGTGTGAGCTGTAAGTAGATTGATGATTATTTTAAAAAAGTGAAAGGAAATAAAAAAAAAAAAGAGAAAAGCGAAGAAAAAGAGACTTTATAACG